AGTGAGCGTGTTTAATCAGAAGAGAAAATTACAGAATCAGATGAATGAGTGGAATTAACTTGCCATAAAAAGTAACTACACAGCCCCTTTTTTCCTCCAAGGGCAGAAATTGACACATCTTTCTTATAATCCCAAAGGATAAGATCCTTAGGGAACATGAAATGAAAAACTAAACAGGTATCTGCTTGAATATTAGGTAAAGAATTATTTCATTAAAATAAGTTTTACAAAGTAATACAAATTTCAATAATCCCTACTTCTGATGGGTAGCCCAGTAGAAGGAAGGCGTTTCTGTATCACTCACCAGAAAAGAAAGATTGGCCCAGCAGCTGCCACCTCTGATACCTGCCCACTTCCCCAAATGAATCAGAAAAGGCAAGAGAAGCCTTAATTTTTAAAAAGTTGAAGTTTTTTTCTAACCTCTCAGAAATATTTACATTTTCTTTCTTTTCTTTTCTTTTCTTTTCTTTTCTTTTATTTATTTATTTATTTAGAGACAGGGTCTCACTCTGCTGCCCAGGCTGGAGTGCAGTGGTGTCATCACAGTTCACTGCAACCTCAAACTCCTGGGCTCAAGCAATCTCCCCCAGTCAGCCTCCCCAGTAGCTGGGACTGCAGCTGTGAGCTGCCATGCCTGGCTAATTTTTTAATTTTTTATTGAGATGGGGTCTTGCTATGTTGCCCAGGCTGGTCTCAAACTCCTGGCTTCAAGCGATCTCTCAACTCAGCCTTCAAAGTGCTGGGATTGTGGGCATGAACCACTGTGCCCATCCTAGAAATATTCATATTTCTTTTATTTCGTACCCATTTGCTTATTATCATGGTAAAAATAACTACAGGTATGACCCACAATTCTAATTCTAGGGTAAATGGTCCTCCTTGGCATGTGGCATAAAGAGAATCTGCTGTGTCTTTGTCACCCCTGTGCCTTTTTACTCCAGTTTAGCACAAACAAGCTCAGTGTTTTAGAGCAAGACTGGACTCAGAGATCACTTCAGCCCTTTTTACTGATAAGACTCAAAGAGTTTATAGGTTTCGCTCAAGGCCACACAAGTAAATATGACAGGGCCAGGGCCTTCATCCAAATACCTTTTAGACTCCATAGCCCTGCATCCAGCCAGCCTGCCTCGTCCAAATTCCACCTCTAACACTAGCAGTGTGACATAGGGACCGTCACTTAACTGTTCTGCACATTACCTATAAAATAGTGGCACTGCAAGGATCAGCAAATTATATCCACAAAGCCCCTGGAACAGCGCTGGCACATGGCAAGTGCTTAACAAGAGGGTTAGCTACCACTATCATCATCGGTATTACATCTCTAAAAATAAGATTTCCATATACAGTTTTAGAGTCAGCTGAATTTCTCATGATTTAAGATGTGTAAGTGTGCTAGAGGACTTAGAAAAGATGTATTTTAAATGTTATGTGATTTTCAGGACAGTATCAAAATGTGACCTTCGATTAGTCACTCAATCAAAATGAGCTTCAATTTCTATGTTTCACAAAAGGAGTTGATGATACTTGTGCTATCTGCCTCATACAGTTAAATTAATGAGTATATGAAATGTGTCCAGAAAGTTAAAAAAGAAAGGGAAGAGAGGATCTTTTGCAGTGTTTTGTTGGTTTTTTTTCCTGCTCCCATAGAAAATGAGAGTGTCAAGTCTGACTATAATACCAAATCATGACGATCACAGATGCTCCATGATTTACAGCACTTAATTAATGTAATCTTCCCCCAAGCCTCATTGTGGAAATCCCAGAGAGAAAGGATGGGCACCCACCCAAAATATGGTTTGGATGTCTAGACTGAAAATCACACACACACACACACACCTCTAAGAAGGTATGAAAAGATTTACTGCTGACATCACGAGGCTTTCTGGGGAGAGCAGGCAGTTCCCAAACAGGCTCGAGTGGCTTGAGAGAGCAGGGACAGGAGACTGGCTTGAGGGTGGGGGTGCGGTCTGTAGGGGGAGGGGCTGGCGCAGCACAATAGGGGTTCGCCTGGTTTGCACCTCCCACCAGGGAGCACCTGGGCCTTCTTATAAGTTTGCCTAGATAGCGAAGAAAAGGGAAAGAGGGAGAGGTGAGGCTTAAAAGCTTTCAGCAGTCAAATATCAAAAAAATGGAGTCGATCTCTTCACGGCAACCTCTATGAGGAAGATCCCATCCTTGAAAATGAGGAAACTGAGACCCAAGCAGCTTAGATCACCTGTCACAGCAGGTTTAACTGGAGCAGCTTCAAACCCACATGGCCTACAATTCCCAGATCCTGTGAGTTCCTGTCACTCAGGCAACAGGAGAAACACTGCCTGGACCCCACCAGTTACCTGATGGCAATCAGCCAATGCCAGAAAAGCTAAAAAACAGCCTTAATGCATTTTTATCCCAATTGGTAGTTTATGATTTTCTTAAATTTCTCCACATACAAAAAAAAAAAAAAAAAAAAGACAGTTCAGGGTTAGGTTCTAATGTTACCATTGCTAACATTATTGTCGTTATAGGGAGAAGGATGACACCCTTTGTATAAAAGATCCTCTTCGCATACAGGTGAAATTCCATTTCCAATTGATCCAGTGAGCATGAGGTTCTATTTCGGCAACCACACAGTCTGCAATGGCTGACATCCATTTCCCTTATCTGTAATTGGGTATGTGTAGTGTTTTCTCTCTCTCTCTAACTTCTCTATCGAGATTACCTTTTGTGGTGGTGTGTTTTGTTTTGTTTTCTGTTGCCATTAAAAATGAGAGTCTCAAGTCTTACTACAAAATCATGAAAGATTAAATTAAAATCATCAGGAATCAATCTTTTATGGGTTATACGGCTCTGAATCATCTCAGTAAGTTCTTCTGGGTGACCAAGTCCGATCGGGTTCCCAATCTGCTAGTCTTTCCTATTAGAATTACAGTTGCTTCAGCTCGCTCTTCAACTCAGATCTCAGAGCATCCGGTATCGGTTTTCCTCAGGTGGGCAGCGTTCACACAGCTAAGCCTGCCTCAAATGAGATCTATACAGGAAACCCAAATCTGTTTTGAGCCAGTGGGTTCTGCAATATTTATGTATTAGTTCATGACTCTTCTGAATGAATTAAATTGTATATCAAATCACCACTCAGGACTAATCACAATATTTATGCCTGTCTGTAAGTCATCTTTAGGGAGCATTAAAAAGTGGTCTCTCTTTCTTGAAGCTTGCTTATATCTATTTTTAGAATCACCAAAAAAAAAAATCTTAGAGTTGTGTTAAATTCCCAACGTCCAGTCTTCCTTCTCATTTAAACTGTTGTGCACTAACCTGCCTTCTTCCGTCCATTCCCACGACACCCCAAGTGCAAACCAACTATTTCTTTCAAGGATAAAATTCAGACATATAAATAAAACAGCAGTATGATAGAAGCATTCAGGCAACTCATTTCTTCAGGAAAAGTTGTAAAAATCATCAATCAACAGGGGAAATTAGTATAGGTCCATTCTCTGGTTTTAAATTTGCAGTTCTTTTCATTTTTGCAAAAGCAAGATTTTGTCCTTATGGTTAGAATGGCTCCAACAGGCATTTCCTGAGGAGCTGTCATGCCCCAAACCTGCTCCTGATGCTGGCTGGTATCACACCTACTCATCATCATCATCATCATCATCATCATCATCATCTCCCCTGAGGGAATGAGAGCTTATTGATGCCAGTTAACAAAGAAGAGCACAACATAGAATGGATAGATTCTGATAATTTGCTATTGAAGAAAAAAAAAGAAAGATTCTAAGCAAATAGCAAAAATTCTGGCTGTCAAGGTCAAGTTTGTCAATCCCATTTACCTCTATAAAAAAAATAAAAACCTATCGTATCAAAAGAGTAGCCTTTTTTCCCCCCACTGAAAGAACCTACTTGAGCATTCTCGAAGTAACTCTTCAATATTGTATCGAATTTATATGAAACAAACTCCTCCACCTAAATGTAAGAAAGCAAGCACTGGAATCCCATGTATGTTTCACATTCACGTGGTCTAATTTAATCATTTCAGATAAATTGGTTATTCACTCCTACGCTGCAATAGAGACTTGGGCGTTTCCAACCGGAAAAAAAAAGCCAACCAAACCCCCAACGAAAAACGTGAAGGTAAAAAGGTTCACCCAACCTGAAAGGAACTGGAAAAACCCCAATTAATAATTTCCGCAAAATCCTTTGGAAAACCCACATTCACGTGCGGCTGTTGGCCGCGTCCCATCCCTCACACAGACCCACGTTTCCTGGAGGCTTCCCAGTGCCCTGGTCACGCCCTGGCCGCCAGCAGCCCCAAGCGTGCGCCCCAAGGGGCGTCCAGCAGGGAGGCGACACTGCAGGCCCCGCGCGCAGTGCCCCCTTGAATGACTCCAGCTGTTCCAACACCCCCTCCTAAGCTTAGAAAGGGCCGGTCACAGGCCGAGGGGACGCAGCTGCCCTCTCAGCCTCTGGCTGCCTTGACAGAGCCCTCAAGGGTGGAGGAAGGAAAGTGCCGGCCACCCGGCACGAGGCCCGCCACCACTTGCTTCCCACATCGCGCACCCTCGACACACGAAGGGTCCAGCGGGACAGGGAGCCAGGCCACCTGGACATTGAACACCTCGCCAAGGACGCTTGGGGCGGGCTCCTCTGTGCCGCCAAGGCGGGCGCCGAGACCGCGCTCCGGGGGGCGCTTGCTCGGTTCGGCCCGGGCCGGGAGGGGCGCGCCGCTAGGTGGCCAACGGTGGCGCCGGGAGTGCCAAGCCCTGGAGAGACACGCCCCGAGAGCCCGGGCTGGCAAGGCCGGGAACAAGGGACTCAGGGAGCAGCACCTGCAGGGTCGGCCCGGGCGTCCGTGTCCACGCGGGCCGGAAGGCTGGAACCAGTCCCTTCCGAAGTAAGAGAAGCTAGTCTCAGACGCGCTGGAACCCAATGCCGGGCAGCAGCAGCAGCAGCAGGGCGGGCGGGAAGAGGGGACGGGTCCTCGGCCAGCGCCCTGCACCGCGCCCACCGCTTCCACTCACCTGGCAGTTGGCACCGGAGACCCCGGCGGGGCAGGTGCAGCTGTAGCCGAGCTCGCCGGCGGGGGCCGCGTGCTGCGGGCCGGGCGCGGGGCGCGGGGTGCACACGCCCCCGTTCCGGCAGGGCTGCGCGGCGCACGGCCCGGGCGCGGGCCAGGGCGCGGCGGGCACCGGCTGGCCAGGCAGCCGCTGCGGGCCGGAGCAGAGCAGCAGCGGCAGCAGGGCCAGCGCGAGCAGCAGCTGCGCACCGACGCCTGGCGCGGCGGGGCGGCATGGCCGGTGGGAAGGCGCGGGAGTGGAGCCGGGCCGGACGGCGGCGTCAGTGGCGGCGGTGGCGGCGGTGACGGCGGTGGCGGCGGCAAAGCTGCTTGCGGGGCCCGGACCTCCTGCAGCTGCGGGATCCGCGGTTCCCCGGCAACGGGGGGGCTGCAGGGCGGGGCCGGCGGGCGGCGCGGGCCAACAGAGAGGGCGCGGCGGGCGGCGGGCGGCCGGGGAGGAAGCGCGGCGGAGCCCTTTCCCTGCTGGAGTTGGTGGGAGTTGCAGGGAGGCGGGCTGGGGCCCCAGCCCTGAAGGTGGGTCAGGGTGGCGGCTGTGTGCGAGGAAGCCCAGGGGGGCAGCGGTGGCGACGCTCGGCAGGAAAGCGGCGGGAGAGGCGCGGGCGGTGCGCCCCCGGCGCCGGGCGAGGGCAGACGGGCGAGGGAGTGGGGCTGCCTCGCGGGCAGCTCCGCCCGCGCCTCTGGCGCAGAATCTGCGAGACGGCACCGGGACCTCCTTACCTCATCCCCGGGCTGCCCTCCCCGACACCGCCCCGCACACGCTCCCCCGCGCCACCCGACCCGGGCGCCCGGACGCCCGCTGAGCGCCCGGCGTGCAGGACAGTGACCTTGCGTCTGCGCGACCGGCCCGCCCTTGTCCTTGGTGCTGACCGGCAGCCTCCCGCTGGCCGGCGCCTGCTGCGCGCTCGGGTGTCTGACCGTGGCGCCGAGAGTGGGAGGAGGCCTCGGGACCCGGGTTCCAACCCTGTCCAACAGAAGAGGAAACTGAGGCCCAGATAAGCTGGACTGGAACCCAGTGGGTCAGTTGACTCCCAGCCAGAACGCTGAACTCCTGGAGGAGTTCCGAAGCGCGAGCGCGGCAGCCGTGCCAGCCAAGGACTCACTACGGGGCTCCGCTAGGAGAGCGCTCGCTGTGACCTGCCTCGGCTCTCGCGACCGTCCTGGTCAGGCCGGCCTGACCGCGGGGCCAAACCGCCGGGAAAACGCGGCCTGCCTTGTCCTCCCCACCTGACCTTTCACACCCCCTCCTTTGTACGCGCTCCCGGGTACTCGTTACCTGCTTTCGAAGGTGACCAAATGAAAAAACAAAATGTGACTCTCGTGAATTAACGGTCTGGCAAATTGTTCGGAACACAAAAAATAGTTTTGTAAAAGCTGGGTTTTTTGTACAAAGTGGAGACTCCACATGAACTTGTGCCCGTAGGTGCCGGGGGCTGCCAAGAGTCCTCCAGCGGAAATAAACTGCGTGGCCTCCTGTTGAGACAGAGAAGCAAATGCCACACGCTTGTGCTTAAGGAGATACTTGACATTCATGTGACCATTGCGGGAAATCACTGTACCCAACACATCTGCTCGCAGCACGAAGAATTTCCACCTCCAAGCGGATCAGAGCAGTTACTACATTTTCCCTCACACCTGCCGCCGCCTTTTAACTAAGACCTCCTCTTTTTAAAAAATCCTAATTTTTGTGCCACGCCAGCACCCTCTGCTGGCTCTAATCTCATCATTCAGGTGGCTCTTCCACCTTCTGTGCCCTTTCATACATTCTTCCCTAAAACTACTCCCACCTTAAATCCTGGACTAATGGACGGTGCTGCCCTCTTCCTTCCGTCAAGACACATGCGCAAATGAAGCAAAATGAAGGGTGAAAAAATAAATTTTCATTAAAATCTCATTTCAGTTTATTTTTGCCTCAACAGCCCCTTTGTGTTTACATTTCCTACCACTTTGAAATATAGGAGAAGTAATAGTGGTTTTATTTTCTGGATGCTGATAACTGAATTTTTCAGATAATGTTCTTTTTTAAAAATATTGTCTTTAATTTCTAAAAGTCATATTACGGCAGAGACAATACAAGACCCTTTCATTTTGCTCCAGGCTAAAACGGAAGACTACATCTTCCAGCACCCTTGCTTATTGGTGGAACAATATGATTAGTTCTGGACAATAGAACGTGGACTTGTATGCCCTAGCCCCAAAATATCCACACACTAAGCACCATGCAAGTGTTAACTATTATTACTATTATCTAATAATATTGGTTCTCTGTTTAACTGAAAGCTAAAAATTCAATTATCCAGGCATTTGGTTCATATTATTCCAAATTTACAGAACATCAAATGTTGACCCTGACCCATCTCACTTCCTTTTTTGATAGAAACCCTATTTTGATAAGTTAAGGGAAAAATATACCAATAATGTGTCTTGATTTCAACACAAAAAAATGTGATAGAATTTCTCATGATCACTTTATGCAGAAAGTGGGAATATATACAAAGAAAGTTCAATTAAGTGGACTTGAAACGATTTCACAGGTATAGTATGAACATACTGGTCAGTGGGTCACTACCACTGGAGGAAGTTTTTAGGGAAATGCCATAGAGTCTCAAGGTTTGGCAGCTAATAGAATTCATATCAGAATGAAAATGTAAATTTATCTCAACCAGTAAAAATACTACAATAAAATAAACAAAATGGAATATGAGGTGAATGGTAGTGCATTTGGCCTTACTGCTATTTGCCAATATTTCTACCACTCCTCTTTCCAGAAACTTCTTAGTGGGACTGTACTTTCCTGCCTCCCTTGACGTTAGGTATAGTCATATGACTTGCGTTGGCCAATAAAATGTATAGGGAAACATTGTGCACCACTTCCAGGTGGGAATCTTTAATATCCAGTGCATGACTCAACTGTGTTCTCTCCCCCTTACCATGAGGACCAGCAAGATTCTAAGAGGTGGAATGGAGCCTTCTCCAGCCTGTGTCTCTAAGGGAAGACAATGCAGGGAAGCAATGTGAACCTGCAATGGTCATGGAGTGTAAGAAATAACCCAAGTAGTTTTAAGCCACTGAGTCCCAGTGATGTTAAATAACATTAGTAAGTGGCAGAGCAGGACTGATTGGTCCCAGTGAGCCAGGCACCACAACTAGCTATCTCCGGTGTGCTATTCTGCCAGACAGAAGGCTGGATTCCACCAGGTTTCTGGATTTGAAGGAATAGAAAAATTTCAAAAACAAATTGGGGGACTCATTTCTTTTCATAGATCTACTTTAGAGTTAACAACTCAACTGCATGATGGCCATAGAATATCATAAAAATGTTACAAACCAATGCAAACATAATTGTCTTGGTTTTTTGTTTCTCGTTTGTTTTTTGAATTTTGTCACAAATGGAAAAAAAAATGACTTCCCAGGCCAGCACAGGTTTGTGGGAAGACATTTGGGAACCACTGACCACAATGAGAACAACACTCTTCTTGTGATGAGGTTTTCACACCGTGACCACCCCAGCATCCTGGGATAATGCCAGCCTGGATGCACAGTGTGATAATTCAGACTTAAAAACTCGTATTTAGAAGAAACTGCAAAGGTTATCTAGTATGATCTCCCAGGATTTGAACTAAGGTCAATATGGGACACTTACACAGGATGATAAGTCACCTTCAGCTTACCTGAAGTGCCACAGATATTAACGTATGCATCTATCAATGATTTAGCACCCACTTTCTCCCCCCAAACATCTGAGTTTTCTGTAGCCGTTGGCAAGATGGTCTCTATAACTCTTTCACCTACAAGTTGCTTATAGACAGTGACACCATTCCTGCTGCCTCTTAACACATTTGGTTAACCTTTAAGGATACAAGGGAACACCCCTGCCCTCACAGACAGTGGGCATGGATGCCAGATTGCAGCTAAAGTCATCTTGAAAGAAAATGTCAGCCACACACAAAGAGAAAGGACACGTTGGCCCATGACTTTTCTGCCATGGACAATAGCACCAAACAGCCTACTTTGGCCAGAACAGTTTTGTCAGGACTCATGATGGCATTGGGCAAGTTACTCTGTCTTTTTGACCTTCAGATGCCATGTATCCGTGTATCATGTAAGGTGGAGATAGAATCCCTACTTTATAGAGCTCTTTGGAGAATTAAATGAGTGATCACGCAGAGTATTCACAGTATACCAGACATAAGTATAAGTATATTATCTCATTTAATCCTAACATATTATCTCATTTAATCCTAATGCCAGCACCATGAGGGAGAAACTATGACTTGTGCCCAATTAAAAGACAAAATGGAGGTGAAATGAAGTAAAACGTCTAAAGTCACCCAGTTTGAAAGTGGTGTGGCCAAGACTCAAACACAGGGAGAAGCCCAGCTGAGGAGCTGTGCTCTCAATCTCTACTCTCCCTGCTCCAGGAATCTCCTGCAGTGCAGAGTCTGATACTTAGTAGACACTACTACACACGAGCTACACATAGAGACAGAGACAGAGATAGAGATACACACATATATGTATCATATGTATGTACAATGTGTATTGCATGTGTATACTGTGGTGCGTGTCATACGTGTGAGGTGTGAGCCATATATGTGATGTATGTATCATATAGATGTATGTGTGCGTACATGGTATGACTGCACAGTGCCTGCTGGGTTTTGGTCTATTGGCGGGGAGGGTGCTTAAGGGCTTTAGTTTGTTTGCTCACTTGCTTTCTTTGTAAGGTAACTGCTACTCCTGACGGACAGAATTATAGGATGTGGAAATGGGACACCACTCTCTGAAGATCTTAACTGACAGGAAGACGAGGTATTGAGAAAACTAAAAACTACTCCAGACTGGGCAGCAGTAGAACAAGAATGCAACCTCAAGCCTCCAAATTGCCAGTTTATGCTCTTTCCACTTTCCCATAGTACATTCCTTCCATTTCCAATATTTCCTACATAACAGTTAACCAACCCAAAGGTAGGGTAAAAATATAAATACTAAATGCATGGGAGTTTTAAATGTCTTTGAAGAATCATCGGGAAGAATTCATATGATTTGCATACATTACAGCCACAAGCACCTGAATGATTATCTTGTTCCTTTAATTAGTAGTATCTTTATTATAATCATTTAAGTGTTAGCATATATATTCAGGTTATTGTATTCTGAATTATCATTGAACAATTCCTAAATGCTGTTTGAGACAGGTTCACATTAACTTTCTACCCCCTAGTCTTGCTCTGATTTGAATTAAACCACTGTTCTAACAGCTGTTTAAAATAGTTTTAATTTCTTTCACATTACCACTCTAATATTGATTTGATCTAGGGTAGATTTAAATAAGAAGTCTTGAATA